TGCATTTACAGAAGGGAAAACTGCAGCCATTTAAAAATTTTAAGCCGCTAAGTTTGTGGCGATTTGTTACAGCAGCAGTATGAAACTAATAAAGAAAGCATACTGAACCCTTCTCCAAAAGTGGAGACATTCACTGCACTGTCATTATTTATTTTGAAACTATAGTTTAAACAAGGATATGTTGTACCGATGATTGGAGACATGAACTGCACCCAAAGTGAGCTTCAATAATTCTAAACCCTTTTGAACTTAGGAACTTAGGAACTCCTGTAGCTGAGTCTGTGTGTGTCGTGTCAGGTGCCATTAGTATAACTGGAAGTTCTCTAAATTTGCTTCTATGTACAATACAATACTTATTAATGCATATGTGCTCATTTGGAATATACACACACACACACACATACACATACATAAAACTCAACAGTAACTTCATCAATTGTTTAGACCTTGGACCAAGAAAATGTGTTTCTGGAGAGGTGTGTTTTATCAATGACATTGTTTAAGATTGCCAGAGCATGGTGATAATGAAAGCTGACCAGGTTTTTGTTGGTTTTATTACTGTTTTTAAATTTTCTACAGGTAATACAGCTTTTTTTTTTGCTTGCACCCAGTGTAGATGATTCTCACTACCTCACATTTGTACTCCACTGTTGCTTTCATATGTTGTTTATTCAGATAAGTTGATATCTTAACTGATTATTCAGAATTAAGGCCTGTATGTATGTTATGTTAATGGTCTTTTTTCTATGCCTAAATTCTATCTCCAGAAATATGGAAGCATTATGAATGACAACACGTTGTTGGTCTCCTGAATTGTACAGCTGTCACATGATAACCTTATATATGACTGGCTAGCTTTAAGTTTTCCCTGCTGTACTCAGGGTTTCTCTGAATTCCTCAATATAAATTTTACTTTCTTGAAGTCAGTATTTATGTTTTCATTTTATAAATTGAAAAAGATTGAATCATAATTTGCTATCTGTCACATAAGTGGTGGTATTGGGACTCATCTACATCTTTTGATTATGAATCTCATTGTTTCCCAAATTCCCATTCTAGAATAAGCTTCTTGCTAGAATAGACAGATAATTTGGATGAGGAATTGAAGTATTCAATAATCATAAGCATTCTGTTGTGGAGTGATGCACTAAACTAGTTTAAACTCCTCAAGACATTTTCAATTTCTCTATCTTTTTCCTTATAAGAGGTTCCTTTTTACATATACAACCGAGACATTTAAAAAGCATTATAGTATAATTACTATATCACTGTAATCTTTCTTCAGTTTCAAAATTATATTTTAATTTCTTAACCTTTCTTATGAACTGAATTTGGCTGACACATTTTCCTCAAGTGCTTTGTAGTTTTTTATTATTTTTTTTCTTTTTGAGGCTTTATCTTCCTGAAATCTTCCTGAAATAAGTTTTTTTCAGGCTAAATCGTTGGAAGCTATAATATGTATTACTGGTTGGTTTTTACTTTGTAAAGAAAATAAAGGAAATTAAAAATGTCAACTTAGAGGATAAGCCTTTGCAACTGGAATAGATCTCAGAAACCTAATTCAAAAATTTCATTTTTCTGTGAAAAAATAAAAAGACACAAAAGGATGTGCTTTACCCAGTTGAAAATCCTCTATGTATGTAAAGGTTGTTTATTAACTTACTTATTGTCCTTCCTGTTACACCAAGAACACTGCACAAGACATCATTCCATAGTCTTAGATACATCCCTGCACAAGACACTTTCCTCTAGAAAAGAGTTTTAAAATAGTCTCCATGCTTCTCCATGATTTAGGATTCTTATGATGTCCTTTTTGTTTACACTAAACTATATCTGGCCAATCTTAAACAATTCTGAGAATTTGGATTATATTTAAAATCAAAATCACAATAATTTGAAATTTACATGTTCTTGACTTTTTTTTTTTTTTTTTTTTTTTTTTTTGGCTGCGCTTGGTCTTCATTGCTGCGTGCGGGCTTTCTTTAGTTGCGGCGAGCGGGGGCTACTCTTCGTTGTGGTGCACGGGCTTCTCACTGTGGTGGCTTCTCTTGTTGCGGAGCACGGGCTCTAGGAGTGTGGGCTTCAGTAGTTGTGGCATGCAGGCTCAGTAGTTGTGGCACACAGGCTTAGTCGCTCTGTGGCATGTGGGATCTTCCCCGACCAGGGCTCGAACCTATGTCCCCTGCATTGGCAGGCGGATTCTTAACCACTGTGCTACCAGGGAAGTCCCAGTTCTTGACTTTTTATTAAAGAAAACAAGGCTTTTAAAAATTTTGTCGCTGTTAAGGTCATTTTTCTCCCTCAAAATCACAACGGCTTACATGCTGTCCTTTGGTTTAGGGAAGATAAACGAAGGAATTCTCCCTTCTGCTC